AAACATTCAAGCACAGGCAGTCCTTGACTTCCAACAGTTCATTTACTGACCGTTCAAAATGACAAGAGTACTAAAAGAAGTAATAATTATAATAATAACGACAACAATAACTTGGGTTTGGCTAGTTTAGAGAAAAGAAGGACATGAGGGCAGTCTTCCAATATCTCAGGGGCTGCCCCAAAGAAGAGGGAGTCAAGCTGTTCTCCAAGGCACCTGAAGGCAGGACAAGAAGCAACGGATGGAAACTAACCAAGGAGAGAAGCAACCTGGAACTAAGGAGAAACTTCCTGGCAGTTAGAACAATTAACCAGTGGAACAACTTTGCCTTCAGAAATCGTGGGAGCTCCAGGTTTTTAAGAAGAGATTGGACAATCACTTGTCTGAAATGGTATAGGTTCTCCTGCTTGAGCGGGGGAGCTGGACTAGAAGATCTCCAAGGTCCCTTCCAGTTCTATTCTATTCTATTCTATTCTATTCTATTCTATTCTATTCTATATCTTGTATTCTATTCTATTCTATTCTATTCTATTCTATTCTATTCTATTCTATTCTATTCTATTCTCCAATATCTATTCTGTTCTGTTCTGTTCTAGTCTAGTCTAGTCTAGTCTAGTCTAGTCCAACCCCCTGCTCAGGCAGGTAACCCTATACCATTTCGGACAAATGGCTGCCCAGTTTCTTCTTAACAACTTCAAGTGTTGGAGCATTCACCGCTTCTGGAGGCAGGTGGTTCCACTGGCTAATTGTTCTAACTGTCAGGAAGTTTCTCCTTAGTTCTAGGTTGCTTCTCTCTTTGGTTAGCTTCCACCCGTTGCTTCTCGTCCTGCCTTCAGGCGCTTTGGAAAATAGCTTGACTCCCTCTTCTTTGGGGCAGCCCCTGAGATACTGGAAGACTGCTATCCTGTCCCCCCTCTTCATTAAACTAGACAGACCCAATTCCAGCAACCGTTCCTTGTATGTTTTAGCCTCCAGTCCCCTAATCATCTTTGTTGCTCTTCTCTGCACTCTTTCTAGAGTCTCAACATCTTTTTTACATCGTGGTGACCAAAACTGGATGCAGTATTCCAAGTGTGGTCTTACTAAGGCATTGTAAAGTGGTATTAACACTTCACGTGATTTCGATTCTATCCCTCTGTTAATGCAGCCCAGCACATGTAAAAAAGATTTTGAGACTCTTGGCCGTAAGCCAAGGACTATTTGTGTATTATTCCGTAAAAGTAAAAACTTGAGGTTGTGTGGTAGAATCCTGTTCTCCTGTCCCCCAAAGCAGTCGGGAGTCACTTCTTTTCTTTTGCTTTCCCCCTTGGCCCTAAACTTTTTCCTCTTCCCTTTTTTCCTCCCGTGTTTTCCCCTTATTTTCATTTTATCTTTGTAATTTTTAGATCAACTCATAAAATGGAAAGCCAAAAAGAATCAGCTTCAGTTAATGCTTGCAGATCCACAGCAGGCAGAGATGCTAGCGGGAACACTCGCTGAATTTTATATATATATATATATATATATACATATATTTTTCCCTACTTAGGCAGAATGCCGGAATTTTATCAAAGTGCTGCTTCTTCGCAACGACAACGTGCTCTTTGTGTGCGGGACGAATGCCTTCAACCCCGTTTGCTCCGATTACAGTGTGAGTATCTGATCCCGTTCTCTGGGCTTCCTCCACCTGACTTCCCAACTCGCAAGAACAATCAATCAATCAATCAATCAATCAATCAATCAGAATAGAGCTGGAAGGGACCTTGGAGGTCATCTAGTCCAACCTCTTGCTCAAGCAGGAGAGCCTAAACCAAGGGTCCTCAAGATAAGATAAGATAAGATAAGATAAGATAAGATAAGATAAGATAAGATAAGATAAGATAAGATAAGATAAGATAAGATAAGATAAGATAGATACTTGAAAACTTGTGGACTTCAACTCCCAGAATTCCCCAGCCAGCATGGGGGCACCCTAGCCAGGGGTGTCTACACAACATGGTACAAATAATCAGGATGTCAGCTACCGTGTTGTGATGCATATTAAAAAAAAAAACCAAACAAGCAGAGCTTCAGCTGTTCACTGTGGCCGCCATCTTGACTTTTTTGACCCAACCCTGCCTCCAGACGTTATGAGTCCACCGTTTGGAGGTTTGTAAGTCTTGTACGTCAGAGCTAAGTTGGTTCTGGTCTCTTTTGGGTTGGGATTCTGTGTCAGTTCTTCTAACCCAGGCGGTCTTCAAACTAGGCCTTTTTATGACTTGTGGACTTCAGCTCCCAGAATTCCTCAGCCAGGCACACGTGCCTGGCTGAGGAATTCTGGGAGCTGAAGTCCACAAGTCATAAAAGGGCCTAGTTCAGGGGTACGCAACCTCGGCTCTTTTATGACTCATGGACTTCAACTCCCAGAATTCCTGAGCCAGCCATGCTGAGGGGAAAGGGAGAGGTTTCCAAGCTGAGCCACGCTGGCTCAGGAATTCTGGGAGTTGAAGTCCTCAAGTCATGAAGGGGCCATAGTTCCCCCATGCTGGCTCAGGAATTCTGGGAGTTGAAGTCCACGAGTCATAAAAGAGCCGAGGTTGCCTACCCCTGGCCTAGTTTGAAGACCCCTGCTTGTTGACTTCAACTCCCAGAATTCCTCAGCCAGCGTGCCTGGCTGAGGAATTCTGGGAGCTGAAGTCCACAAGTCATAAAAGGGCCTAGTTTGAAGACCCCTGCTTGTGGACTTCAACTCCCAGAATTCCTCAGCCAGCGTGCCTGGCTGAGGAATTCTGGGAGCTGAAGTCCACAAGTCATAAAAAGGCCTAGTTTGAAGACCCCTGTTCTAACCCATTCTCCTCCCAACAGATGGACTATCTAGAACCGATGGGGGACAACATCAGTGGCATGGCCCGCTGCCCTTACGACCCCAAGCACGCCAATGTTGCCCTTTTTACAGGTCAGTGCGGTGGGAAGGAGGCACTGCTGGGTTTTGGGGTTTTTTTTTCCGTTGCTTATGGTTTTTTTCCCTACCCCCACCTCTCTCCAAAAGATCTCCAAGTGGTGCACGTTCCCCCAGGAAATCCGAAGAAGTCTTCCCGAAATGGCTTTTGGGAAGCCTGGTGGATATTTTTTTTCATGTCTGCCTTCTAATAACACTGGTTAAGTTGGAAAGGGTTTCCCCAAATTCCTGATTCGACTCCT